AACTAAGAACTTCTCAAACTATTTTCTCTCGAAATTGCTCCCTTCACAGAAACCTTCATCTCCAATCCTTGGATAAGGGAATTGGGCCTTCCCTGCCCTCGTCCTTCCCGTCAGTCAGCCCCGCCAGGTCGCAGGACCCGGGGAGCTCACACCACCCGCCCGCCTCGGCCCGCGCAAGGGCGAAGGCTTCCCCGCCGCGGTCCGGCGCCCCCCAACCTGTGCCTTCCAGACCTCGGGCGTCCGAGCGCCGCCCGAAGAGCTCCCGCCCGGCCGCCGCGGCCTCCGGTCTTTGTGACTAATGTATGTGTTACTGGAAGGACAGGAGCCTAGGCTGGCCTGCAGTGTATGGGTCCTTGACTTCGTGTAGAAAAGATTTCACCACAGGAGTCCAGGTGGGGTTGAGAGTACTAATGCTGGGGAGAGTGAAGCAAAGGAAGAAATTAGGGTAGAAGAAACAACAGGGAGAGGTTCGATATTGCTCTGCTTTGGTTCTCTAGAAATGTTATAGGAAAGAAGTGAGCCCAGGCGGGGCTGCTGTTAGATCTCTGGGAAGTGAAGGTCATAATGATGGAAGTGAGCCAAGTTAGCTCACTGGAAAGTCTGAAAAAAAAAGGGACCTTTGAGACAAGATCAGGTGGTGATCCCAGGTGGAGTTGTGCTGCCCACTGCTTCCCTGCTTGGTTGCGGGTCTCCTGGGGAACCTTAGATGTAAAAAGTTCATACCCCAGGCATAGGCGTGCTCTGGAGAGAATACCCATTGAGTTTTTGTCCTGGGGGCTTTTTTTTCCCCCTGTAGGCAAGAATCTTAGGGGAGTGTTTCAATAGAATATTCATCAGCTTTCCAGGTGCATTTTTAACATGCTGATGCATTAGAACAGTGGTTCTCAACCTTCCTAATGCTGCTACCCTTTAATACAGTTCCTCATGTTGTGGTGGCCCCCAACCATAAAATTATTTTCGTTGCTACTTCATAACTGTAATTTTGCTACTGTTATGAATTGTAATGTAAATATCTGATATGCAGGATGTATTTTCATTGTTACAAATTGAACATAATTAAAGCATAGTGATTCATCACACACACAAAAATGCCATAAA